ACATTGCCAGATGTCCTGGGGATAGGGGTGGTGTGGGGTAAAATCTTCCCCCATTTAGAACCACCGCCCTAGGGCAATCTTTTAAACACATGGGTCAGGACACATCACTCTTGGGGCCCCTCACTGTGAGCCAGAAGACTTTCTAATCTAGCCCTATGACCACTATGACCTCTTTCCTTACCCCTCTTTCCAGGATCCCTTCCCTTCCCATCTTAGGGCCTTTACACCTGTTGTGTTCCCTCTGCCAGAAACACTTCCCACAGCGGCCTGCTCATCCTCCAGGCCTTGTTGTGAATGTTACTTCCCCAACTACTCGAGCAGAAATGCCTCCTCCTGCTGTCACTTTAGTCTTAACCCCACTTTCTCCTCTATTCTTTTCATGTATAGGATTTTATTACTATCTGAAGTAATCTGTTTTCTTGCCTGTCTTCTCCACTAGAAGGCAGGTTTCATAGGGGCAGAGAGGTTTGTTGATTTTGTTTCTGGCTGTTTGCTTGGTTCACACCATAATGCCTGGTATAGAGTGGGTACTTAGTAACGATAGATGAGTAAATAGGTGAGTGCTCAGCCTTTGTTATGGGTGACGATGGGGACCCAGAGATGAGTCATACTCAAGGTCTACCCTCTCAGGGCTCCCAGGCTGGTGAGGGAGAGAAACCTGGACACAGAACATTGCAGTTGTGGTGACCAGAGCTGTGACGGCAGGGGTACCAGGGGAGAGCCCAGAGTAAAGGACTTGGAGAAGATGAGAAGCACTTGTGATGGCTCTGGAAGGATAAGTAGAAGTTTGTCAGGTGAAGAACAGCATCTATCTGCACTCATTCATTTATTCATTCATTCATTCATTCACCCACTTCCTTGGGCTTCCAGTGCTGGGAAATGCTGGGGACTCAGAGATGAGTTAATCCTGCACCCTGCTCTCCTCAAGCCCCTAGTCTGCTGGGGGAGGTTGACATGGGCAGTCACAATCCAGGGTGATCAGAGTCAGGTGGAGGGAGATACTGAGGCTGTGGAAGTGCCCAGGGGTAACTTGCTTCTTGTGGCATAGAAGGGAAGGGCACCCTGAACAAGCCTGAGTAGGGCCAGTCCCTTCCTTGCAAATACTGGAGATCTGAGAGAACCTGGCCCATTCCTGACGTAATGCTGGGTTCGCCTCACACCCTGACATAAGCATGTTGCATGTCCTAGCACAGTGAGCCTGACCGAGTGATGAGCCCCATTTCATGGACAAGGAATCAAGCATCTCAGAGACTGAGTTGCTCGCCCAGGGGAGCGTCCAGTGTGACGAGAGTGTTGAACCAGGCTGACAAGATGAGGCTGGAAATGTGCACAAGGCAGGTTCTTCACACAGATGGGGTGTCTTGAGTGGCCTCAGGAAGTGTCTCACTCTGGTCTCCCCTCTGTGGAGTGTGCAAAGCCAGTCAGGGGAGGATGGGTGCAGGAGACTGGGACCGACACCCATGGTGCAAAAATGACTGAGGGGTTTGCAAAATGGGAGGAGTGACCTTCTGTTTCCTATTCTAGAATGGAACAGAAGAGGGAGCTCCTGTTAGTACCTCTGGGATTACAGCTGCTGTGTATGGGGGCATTCATGTCCCAAAACCACCACTACCATGGCTTCACCTCCTTCTTATGCTTCCTCACACAAGACAAGCCAGAGGTGGGAGAAGAGCTGTCCTTTATGGTCCAGGTCTCCCCCCACCCCCAACCCAGAATCCCTCACCAAGACATGTACTCCAACATTAGCCAGATCTGCCCAGTGGACACCAGTAAGGAGGATCTGCCCGACCGCCCCATCACCTCACCCTATGTCGGTAGGCTGGAGTGGATTCCTACATCTCCAACCCTACTTTGGCAGGAATTGCTGAGGAGGAGGCAGCACCTGGAAGCAGAAGGCACTGAGCCTGGTAGCTGGGGGTGATGGAGAGAGAGCTGGTTCTCTATTGCTGCATCCCAATGAATTGCCCCAAAACTTAGTGTCTTTCAACCTTCATTAACTCTCCAAGTTTATGTGGGCCAGAAGTATTGGGAAGGGCTCAGCTGGGCAATTGTGATCCATGTTTTTTAATGCAGTGAAATGTGGCTAGAAGTTCAACAGCAGGGGGCAATGTGGCAGGAGCTAGCAGGGCACCTGACTCTTCATGTGATGTCAGGGTCTCTCTGTGATATCTCTGCAATTGTCTAGGTTGGGCTTCCTCACAGCCTGGTGGCCTAGAGCTCACACAGTGACTGATGGCCTCAAAAGCCAGTATTTGCATAAACAAGGCAGAAGTCTTATGGTCTTTTATGATATAGCCTCAAAAGCCACATAACGTCACTTCTGCCATACTCCACTCATTGACGGTCATAAAAGCATACCCAGTTTAAAGGAGTGGGGACTTTGACACATCTGTCAATAGGACTAATGTCAAAGTCACATTATAAGAAGGGCATGTTAGATAAGAGACATTGTTGTGGTTATCTTTGGAAGACATATGGTCCACCACAGGTAAGAGGAGGCACAGCTGGGAGTGAGTGGGTGGATGGTGGTACCCTCAGTGACAGGGGAAACTGAGAAGGATGATGTTCTGAGATGTAGGGAGAGTGGGTAACCTGAGAACCATCCAAGAGGAGACATGTGGGAGGCTGGTTGGGGTTGGCACTCAGGGGGCAGATTTAGGACCATAGGGAACCATGGGAAGAAAAGCAGTAGGAGGTGTTGAGCTTGCTGGGGCGAGGCTGGGACAGGGGAAGAGGGATACATGGGAGCTGGGGGAGAGAGGAGGAAAGAATTGGAAGAGGAGATCTTGAGAGGTGGAGGGAAAACAAGGGAGGCAGGGTATTTGTGAGCCAACAGAGGAAGCTCAGAGCCCTTTGTGCTGGTGTATTAGTCTCTAGAGCTGCCATAACTAAGTACCACAAACTACGTGGCTTAAAACAACAGAAAGATACTCTCTCACAGTTCTGGAGGCCAAACATCCAAAATCAAGGTGTTGTCAGGCTCGGTTCCTCCCAGAAGTTCTGAGGAAGAAACCATCCTATGCCCCTCTCTTAGCTTCCGGGTATCATTGGCAGTCCTCAGCATTCTTTAGCTTGCAGGCACATCACTTTAACTTATAGCTCCATGGCGGCCTTCTCTCTGGGGCGTCACATGGCCTTATAGGGGCACCAGTCATTCGACTTAGGGCCCACCCTAATCCAGTATGACTGCATTTTAACCCATTATGTCTGTGAAGACCCCATTTCTGAATAAGGTCACATTCTGAAGTTCTGGGTGGACAGGAATTTGGGGGTCGGCAATGACTCAACCCAGTACAACTGGGTTGTGGGGTTTCTGGGGCAGGTTCCTAATTATCTGGCCACTCCCTCTCTTATGTGGCCCCTTGAAGGTGATGATTCCAGAGAACCTGACAATGGAGCAGGTGGTGGGAAAGAACCCACTGGAAGAGCTGGGAGGCCAATACGAGCCACCTGACTGCTGGACACAGCACCACATAGCAGTAGTGGTGCCCTACTATGGGCAAGCCCAACACTGGCAGCACCTGTTCTTCCACTTGCACCTCTTCCTGCAGTGCCAGCAACTGCAATATGCCATCTATGTGGCAAACCAGGTGTGGTAGGAAGGGGGAGGGACAAGGGCAAGAGGTCAGAGGGCTCTGAGCATGGCCTTGGATAGTCAGAGCCGAAGTTGTCAGTCTGAGCTGAGAGTTTCTGGGCCAGAGAGTATCCAGGGAGCTGGATTTATGAGTCAAAATCTTGAATTGAGGGAAATCAGAGTGAAGGGCTATAGGTTTGGTCTTCACTGGCTGAATTTGGGATCAATTTGAATGACTGTCTGAGGGAAAGGCTCCATTTCACTGAGTCTGGGCCTCTTTGAGACCAGGGCTGGCCATATTGGGCAGTAAAGCTAGTAGGTAAATTAAGGGGGTGTGGGGGGTGGTGAATCAGTTAGATGTTTGTTTGAATCCTGGCCTTGTCCATTCTACAGGTTTCAGGTGCACAATTCCACAACACATCACCTGTATACTGTATTGTGTGTTCACTACCCCAAGTCTTCTTCCATCACCATTTATCTCCCCATATCCTCCCCTGGGTTGTGGGAAAAATTAATCGATATGATGTATAGCATCCAACAGGTGGTGGCACAATGGCGCCAACTCACTGGGCTACAGGAGATGCAGCCCCTCTACGCCAACCTCACCGTGGATATCATACCAGCCCCAGGAACCCCAGTGCCAAGCTGAGGGATATCTGGGGCCTGGAACAGAATCCCTCTGATGGGCTGCAGGGAAGCCCTCCCACCTGTCCCAGGTGGTTTCTTATTAAAGGAGTTTAATTAGCTTGCTGCTTCTCTCTGCATCCCCAATTCTCGCCCTTTCATTTCCATTCATTTATTCAGGGCCCCACTCAGTTTCAGCAAGCACTGGTTTTCTCTGCACAGTTCCAAGTACTTACGACCCATCCACCCACTTCTCATGCAAACTCGCAGGGTAGGCACTATTATAAACTTCCTTTTGCAAACCAGGGCAGATGAATTAAATGACTTGCCCAGTTGATGTAGAATCAGACACAGGAGCCTGGCTCCTGGGCATGTCCACTTAAAGGTTATGCTATTCTGCTTTTTGTGGTAAAAAAAAAAATAAGTGGGAAAATTAATAAAAATTGACATCATGTCCACATGATAGAAAACCATGCAGCATTGAACAGCTGTACTGTATGAAAAAGAACAAGATGCCCACATGTGTATGCTATTATTTGATATTTATAAAACAGGGGAGTTGCTATTCAACACAGTTATGAGCATAGTAATGAGTGTATGTGGATAACAAATGTTGGCAAGCTTCTTCTGTAAAGGGCCAGAAAGCAAATGTTTCTGGTTTGTAGGTAATAAGGTCTTTGTCACAATTACTGAACTCTGTCACTGGAGCACAAAAGCAGCCACAGACAATAAACAAATGAATATTAGTGTGTTCCAATAAAACTTTATTAAAAAAAAATGTGTCTGACCAGATTTAGCTGATGGCCAGTTTGCTGACTCCTAGTGTATTATGATTAGTAGCTCATATAAAAATATGAAAGAGCCCATAACCAGTCCTTACGCTGGTTATCTACAAGAGGCTCCTCATAGATGGGGGTGGAAAGAGAAGGTAGAGCTGAGCTAATCATGAACAAAGAAAAACTACACTACAAAGACCAGTATACATTATACAGTCACATTTATTCATTTACCAAAAATGTATGTTCATATGTCTATACAAACATTGACTGTGCAACTTCAGGATATAAATATCAATAGGAAATTTAACAAACAATTATATTATTTAAAAAGTATATAATCCATACCTCCTATTATGCAGTGGATTCTGTAGCAGATGCTATAGAACTGAGGGTGTGTATTGACCTGACTAAAAATATACATACATATATAAATATATAGATACCACATATACATACATCCATAATATAGTCCAATCATCATTCAGTTTGCTGGCACTTTAAAAAATATTAGTATTTCACATTAAACAGGGTTATCACTAATATGATTGCCCACAAACTAGCCTATAAGTAATCTGGTAAAAATCTTTTATCCCTTTTGAGAGGAATATTTTTCTCAATACATTAGCTGTGATTTCTTCCCCAGATGAATTTTATAATCTTTAACAAAGGTAGTACAAATATGGACACTTTCACTCATTCTTAAAAGTTCTTTTCTAATTCCCTTACATAAAATAATGTGTAACTTTGTGACATGCAGTGCATTTCCTAGTTTTCCTGAAGCATAAATGCTATAATGTACAACTAAATCTGACTCGTGAAATTTTTTTCATTAAGAGATTCAGAGTTTGTTTCACTTATGTATATTCAAATTTGTACTAGGTACTGATTTCCAGGTGAAGCCTTTCACAGAATTAACTGCTTTTGTAAGATTTGTCTCTGGCATGCATTGTTTGGTGTTTATTAAAATTTGACCTATTGTTGAAGGCCTTCCCACATTTAGTACACACATAGGGTCTTTCCTCTGTGTGAGTTTGCTGATGCACTTTGAGTTGTGGTTTCTTACTGAAAGATTTCCCACAGTCACAGCACTCATACGGTTTCTCTCCAATATGACTTCTCTGATGTGTCACCAACTCCGACTTCTGGATGAAGGCACTCCCACATGTGTAACAGGCAAAAGTTCTCTCTCTAGTGTGAGTCATCTGATGTTTATGGAAATTTGACCTCCCATTGAAAGCCTTCCCACATTCAGTGCACACATAGGGTTTCTCTCCAGTGTGAATTCGCTGATGTTCTTTGAACTGTGACTTGGAAGTGAAGGCTTTCCCACAGTCACTGCATTTGTAAGGCTTCTCTCCAGTGTGGATTCTCTGATGCATGCTGAGTATTGACTTCTGGTTGAAGGCTTTTCCACATTCACTGCATACATGGTGTCTTTCTCCAGTATGAATTTTCTGGTGTATATTGAGGTGTGACTTTTGGGTGAAGGTTTTTCCACAGTTACTACATTCATAAGGCTTCTCCCCAGTATGAATTCGATGATGTATATCAAGCTGTGACTTGGAAATGAAGGATTTCCCACAGTTGTGGCACTGATAAGGTTTCTCTCCTGTGTGACTCCTTTGGTGCACAGTTAGGTGTGCCTTCTGGATAAAGGCCTGCCCACATTTGATGCACACATAGGACTTCTCCCCTGAATGGATTCTCTGGTGCAAGCTGAGCGTTGACTTCTGAGTGAAGGCCTTCCCACATTCGCTACACACATACTGTCGTTCACCAGTGTGAATTTTCTGATGGATAATGAGGGTTGAATTCTGAGAGAAGCCTTTCCCACATTCACTGCACTTATAGAGTTTTTCTCTCATATGAGTTCGCTGATGTCTGAAGAGAGATAGTGTCTGGAAAAAGGCTTTTCCACATTCATGGCATTTATGGGGCTTCTTTCTAGTGTGAGTTTGCTGGTGTGTAATCAACTCTGATCTCTGAATGAAGACTTTTCCACATTCCTTACATATATAAGGTATGTTACCTGTGTGATCTGTCAGATAGTCACCAAATTTTGGTTGTGAGACAAAGGCTTTTCCACATTTGTTGCATTCCTGGAAGTTTTCTACATTATGGAATCTCTGTTGCTTGAGGAGATGAGACTTCATCTCCTTGTGGGTGAAGTCCCTCCCACATTCAGTACATTTATCTGGTTTCTCCAGAGTATGAATTTGAGGTTGTGTAAGTGACTGTTTGTGGCTGAGGACTTTGGGTTGTTGATTACCTCTGCAGATGTTCTCTCCTGTGTGAATATTCTTGTAGCTAGCATGGGAAGAGCTTTGGATGAATAGCTGACTAGATCCCACAATCTCATCAAGGTGTTTTGTGGTATTGCTTTGATTTTGACTATTTAATTCTAGGTTAGGTGTCAAACTTTTTACAAGTGAACATTTATGACGTCTTTTTTGTGAAGGAACAAGATGGGGCCTCACATGAATGATTTTCCCAGGGTCCTTATATTGACAACCTTTCTCTGTATTCAGTTTTTTCATGTTGAGGAAAGCCCTCTGATGTGAAGGTTTATTTTGATTTGGCTGATCTCTCTCTGTACAGCCAGCATCTTTCCACAGTTCTGCTAAAATGGAATACCAAGAACCATCTCTTGTGACCTTGCCTGCCATGTCATGAAATGAAGCTGTTCCAAAAATGTCCTGTTGTGGGGTATTAAGAACAAACTTCATTTCTAGAAGGAGAAAAAGATGAAAAAGACATGATGAATAGTTAGAGTGAGCACAGGGAGAGAGCTGAGTCCTATATAACAATGGTGGTGATGGTGGTGGTGAAAGGAAACAGTCTCACAGCCCTTATTATGTCAAGCACTTACCTATATAGCACTTTGCATTTGCCAGGCAATGTTCTATGTGACACACACATAAACTCATTTAAGCTTCCCAACAACCTATGAGGTAACTATACTCATTATCCCAAGTTATAGATAAAGAAAAGGAGGCACCAGATGGGTGGGTAATTGGCTGAAACCACTTTACTCACCAATGGGGAAAATTAGACTTGAACAAAGGCAACCTGGCTCCACTTATGTAGGCAGGTTAGATGCCCAGACCTGGTGGGATGACTACAGGATAAAAGATATAACAGACAAGGGTATTTGTTATAGGGCAACCTCTGTGAATAGCCAAGGCCTGAAGCAGGAGGCTCACAATATACAGGTCTTTGTGAAACTGAATAAAGGCAGCCTCACTTAAAATGGTGTCTCCAGGCCAAAAGGAGGCCTCTCACATATTACCACTGGAGGTTTATCACACACCCCAGCAGGGAGCATTGCACCTTGCATTCCCAACAAGCTTTAGGATCTGAATTGTCACTAATCTTCCAGCCCCCTTTTGTAAAAAAAAAAAAAATGCAAGTGCTGTGCCCTTAAAATTGCCTCCCAATGTCCCTATACCTCTAAGATGACATCATTTTTTCCTGACCTTCAAAAGCAGTCACTCTCTATGCCCCCTATTTTGATACTTATTGAGTAGTCTTCCATTAAATAGACATGATTAATGCCAAAAAAGCTAATGATTTTAACAACTCATGCTATTATCCACTCTATTCAATTACAATTTCTGATCCTTTGCATTTACTTCAGCAGGTATTTAAACTATCTTTCTAAAGTAGAGCAAAATATTCTTTTCTGCCCATCTTTAGAAATTCAATAATTGTTATACCCTTATGCTTAACACTGACATAATGAAAATTAAGTAGAGAGAGTACAAAATAGTAAAAGGATCATGTATAGAGAGGATCATCTAATAGACAATATATATTGCCTGTATATATTATATATGATGTCTACATTGAGAACATGAAAGCAGTGAAGTATAGGATAAGTAATGAAATTATTCAGGTACATTTTTAAATTGGAAATATATGGCCATGATGATAATATCACTGAAATAACTATATTTTTATGTAACTATTTTGTATTAAAATATTGTTGATAAAAAAGTAGTAAAATATCAATATTTGTGGTAATAAAATATGTCAACAGCAACTTGACATATTTTATGTCAACATCTAAACATTGGGAATCCACAAAGCTCCTTAGGAACAGAATAACCCAAGCATGAGAAAATAGAGAGCTGCTTTATGATGATACCACTGGGATCAGGAAAAAGGACCAGCTAAACTATAAGTGCAAAAAGAAAAAATATAGGATTTCTAAAAGAAATTAGAAGGCTGAGCTGGAAGAGCTAAGAAAGATAGAAGAATTTGACAAAGATATGTATATAAGGTGAGAAGAATCTGAGACTGGTGTGATGATTTCAATTTCTGATCTCCAAAATATAAAGTGAGTTATCCCATGGGAACTGTCCACCATGTAGCTAAACAGGTCAAGAGAGCACAGTTTAGGCACAGGGACTGGAGGGGTTAGTCAATACAGGGATCATCAGAAAACTATGAGGCCTAATGATCAGAATAGAATGGCCCTTTATGGCAATTCCTATTTGAAAGGATGACCAGAGGGAAGCATAGAGCCCCAAGCTGGAGACATCACCATTAGAGGAAAAAGAAGAAAGGAGATCCAGCACAGAAAAGAAAAATCAATGAATTCAGGGGGCAAATAAAAAGGAAAGTCTTGAAAGAATCCCATGGGCACAAAGGGATAAAATAATACAACAAAAGCAATATACACATGGAAAACCTACTCAGGTAAGAGATATGATGAGATCCTCTGACTATTTAGTTATGAGAAAAATGAAATCAAGACATAAAAAAGCCCTTTTACCCATCACATGGGCCATAATTGGAATTCTTGGGCACAGCAAAGGGGAGTATAGATTCTGCAGCCCATCTGAAGAGCAGTATGGTTTATTAGTCAAATTGAGTGTACATGTATCCTAATCAGGCAATCTCACTCCAGAGTATTCACCTAAGAAATTCTTATACCAGCTCCTATAGCACATTTACAAGATAATTAGCTATAGGAACTGGGAGTTAGGAAGCAACCTAAGTGTCCACCACTATGAAAATGGATGCATGTGGCAGGTTGGCTACTGGCTCACAAAGATATCCACATCTGCCAGCTACTCACCTTGGTGCCTCTGATGTGGGAGTTCAGCCTCGCCTATCCACAGCTCCTTGTCTTTCTTCATCCTGAAAATGACCTCTGGGTTGGGAATGTGATACCCTGTTAATAAGAAAGCATATTGGATTTGGATGTGGTCTTGGGCTTTAGAGGCCATTCAATGAAGCCTTGCATGTGCCCAGCAGAAAAGTCAATATCTTTCACTAAGAACAAAGTAACATTTAAGATGCCCAAAAAGAATGAACAATTTAGGACAAAACCAAAGACAAACCAATTACATCCTACAGATGTCCCACTGCACTCCACAAGGAAGGAAATCTCAAGGAGGCCCAACCAAGGTTCCCAGGGCATGTGTGCTCACCCACGGAGAAGAGGTGGCTATAGATCTCCAGCATCACGTCCAGGTACAGGCATCTCTGGGCAGGGTTGAGTTGCTGCCACTCTGCCTTACTGAAGTCCACGGTCACGTCCTCAACTGACACTGATCCCTATAACAACATACCCCAGTTCTATGAAATTAGTCATCATTGGTGAATGGGAAAGATACATGTATAGACAAGTTCTTAATGTTTTTGTAAATAGTGTTAATGTTTCTTTTAATGTCTTCTATTATAAAATGTTATTGTCAGGTTGAGATGATTTTTTAAACACTAATAAAATATATGATCTTTTCACAATACATTAATTCACAATGATAAAAAGCCATGCATTTATCATAACTTTTTAAAATAGAACATCTCTAATTTTAGTATAAACCTATCACAGGACAATGAATCACTAATTATTATGACCACTCATTATTATTTTAAAACACAAAGTGTCATAAAATATACAGAAAACCTTAGAATTTCAGGAGATCTTTAGTATGCCCAAGTATCCTGTTTTCTCATTCCTAAATATTAGTATCTATGGGCCATTTTTAAAACACTGATCTCTGGCATTTTTATTCATCCTTTAAAATGGGAAAAAACACATAGTCCCATGGTCCTTAAAGGCAGTTCTTGCTCTAGGATCCTATGACTCTGAAAACTATGAAGACAGAGGGGAAACGAGCCAACCCAACAGAATAGGAAGTAGGAGTCAGGTGGGAACCAACTGAGAATATGCAAAGGCCCAGGGGTAGAGGAAGAATCTTAGCCTGTGGTGAGCAGGAAGGATTTAATATATTCTCGTTTGTGGCTAGAGCTTCCCGCCCAGACCAGGGGCTAAGTTCTCTTCTTTCTTTGGCTCAGGGTTGACCCTCTTTTCTAACACAGCTTCCTTCACTGGCCAGTTCAGTTTCCTCTGTAACACAGATGGCCTGTGAATATGAGCTCACGTCAGCTTCCCGTGGCCCAGCTCAGCAGGAGGATCCAGACTGTCTCACTCACAGGGAGTCTAGATGTGGCTACTTCCTGTGTCTGCCCAGAAGTTCTAAACAACAGTCCCTGGGGCTGCCCCTGCTTACCTCACACAATTCATCCTGCTCCTCTGGACCCAGGACCTGGGGCCTTGGGGGCAAATTCACATCAGCAGCCATGTCCTCTCTGGGCTTCATCTCTTGGTCTCTCTTGCAGACAACTCCACTTTTCCCAGGAGCTTGAAGCTGCATGGGCATCTAGAGGCTCCAGTCCGAGCTGCTAGGGAGAGTCAGGCTGAGCCGTGAAGAGGGATCCTACAGACTTGAAGATGTTGCCTGACCCAGGGGCTCTGAAAAAACACCAAGAAGCCCTGGAAAGTCAATGACCACATAGTTGTTCATCTAACATTTGCTTCACACAAACATTTATAAGGGCCCTTAAGTAAAGGTCACTGTGCTAGACATTGTGTGTGCAATAAGCCAAGTTCAGAAAACTACAACTTGTTATTAATCACTGAAAAATAAAGAAAAGACCGTAAGATTAGACTACACTTAAAGAAGGTTTAGTTGCAGCTCTGCCACCCTTTTAGTGGTGAGAATATGAAGCTATTACTTTAGTTGTGGTTTTCAAAATGAGTTGGAAGGTTTTTATCACAGCCATTGAAAACCTTACATGACATGAAACTTATTAACCCCTGCCTGGCATGTGGTAAAAACTGAATAAAAATCAGCAAGTAGCACCTTGGGTACCTGATGCTGTTACATAATTCGCCTTAAGGGCATGCAGTCTGCAGAGGGAATCGGTCCCATGTCTGCCTTATTCTAGACTGCACACAGCTGCCACTATCCAGTGTGGTCCCCTACATGGGCAGCTTCCAAAAGCGTCATTTCTAGTTCCTGTTCCCTTCAGAGTGCTGAGACTTAGTTGGCCATGTCTGGCATGTCTAATCCAAGCTTCTGGACATTTCAGTGCTCATCTATAATGCCCCAGACAGCTCAGTCTTTTCTGACAAAAATTTAAATTCCCTATACTCAACCTCACCTTGACCTAAGAAAGCCTCAAACACACACCAGGCCCCCAATCCCTTACCATTTCTGGCCTGTCCATGTGAACTGCCCCTGACCCACCACACCCCAATGCAGTCTTGGACAGGTCTGACCTCCAGAAATCCCCAGTGAGTGGACCACAGGGATGCCGGATCTGGAAATGCCTCCCAGCCACTGACAAGGCCAGGCTCCTGAAGCCATTACTACCCTGAATGCCAATAAATGTGTCCCATAGAGTGTGATTTCCACAGAACCCCAAATAATCCCCACCACGGGGTTCCCAACAACGTGCCCCAAGAGGAAACCATCGCTGATCTGCTCAGCCGCCAATCCCTGACCTGTACCGTGTCCACAAGCACCCAAGGAGAGACCAACACTGAGGTGCCATCCATCCCTGAAGGACCCCAACACGCACTGCTCAGAACACAATGCAGCCGACAGCACAGGCCTCCAATCCCTTGCAACTCTGCACAGGGTTCCCATATGCTACCCTTAGCACCTTGCTTTACCAATTTCACAGGTCCCCAGCCACCGCTCCCCACCCAAGTGTTTCACAATGTGTCCCTCAAAGTCCTCCAGTCCCTGAAGCTTCCGGTCCCAGTCAATCACTGCCTCCTTCCATGCCCCAGGGAGCAGGTCGCTTCCCCAAATGTCCCCAGCACCAACTATTGTACTAAGGTTCCTAAGACGCACCTCAAATGAGCAAGTTTCATGGGCCAACAATATAAAATCTGATATTAAAGTACACTTGGAATTTACGTCACAAAAAAATACTTGTAGACCTACGAAAAAGACACAAAGCGTGAACATTAACGAGTCTATCTTCCAACTTCAATCGGAAACCTCCCACTTACCTCATAGCCCCTATCACTAAGAACTCCATCACTCACCCGGCAGATTCCCCCATCACTTATTCCCCAGCCCCCTTCACCTAACTCCCACATCACTCACACCAAGTTGATTTCACCTCACTAACCTCACAGAATCCCCACGGCTACTGTTCCAAATCACCTGAGCATCCCGCCTGAGACAGTTAGAAGCGGTTGACCAAGTATGCAGAATGGACGCTCAGAGCCGCTTCCTGGTTGGGTGAATTGTGCGTACGCTCACTAGAATCATTGAAGCCAAAAACTGCCAATAGTTATCATGGCGTCTTACGTTGCACTTCTATACCGCAGTTCATTTTCTTTCAGGGACTGACAGAAGATGACATGGCAGCACCCATGATGAGTATGACTCTGGAGGCCGCCATGTTCAAAGAACTTCCAATCCGTACAGCCAGGTTTTGCATTTGAAATCTCAAGAGTAAAATCTTGGGATTGTCTCACATTGGCAGGAGACCTATTCAATACCTGTGGATGTCTATTTCTAGGAGAAACTGACATTATATATTCTGGAAAATACCCTTTCTCTGTATTTTCACACTAATTTAAAGTCCCACTCTCAGAGTCCAGATATCCTGCCCCTTCTTCCCTCCCACAACTCTGCACAGAGAAACTAACGCAGACATGTTGGGAACCCAAACGGTGTTGAGTTTGGCAGAACTCCCCTCCATTGCCAGATTCCACTCGGGGCAGCTCCAGGACCTAGGCTCTGGGCTTGGCTCTTCAGGGTCCAACTCGGCCTAGAGAGGGGCTTGCTGTTCATCACACAGGCAAAGCACAGGGATTAGCCCTTCTTCAGTGCCCTGCAGGTGAGAGAACTAAACGGTAGAGACAACAAAAAAGGGAGGCAAAGACTCTGGAGTTTATTGCTTGGGTTTGAAGCCAGATGTTTGGGCAAGTTTGGGCAAGTTAGTTCACCTCTCTGTACTGCAATTTCCTGTTTCAAAAAATCGTGAGGATTGGATAATTAAATAAATGATCACGTGCAAAATGTTTACAAGAGTGCTGTTACAGAATAAGAATGAGTTGTCACATGAGAAGAATAATACTTATTTCATCCATTCAACAAATATTTATTAGATGTCTATGATGTGCTCAAGAAAAAATTGCTTAAGGTCAGTGTTTGCAAAAGTGTTTGAGGATTTCAACATTTCCCCCCCAAAACCATTAGTAAATCCTTTGATGTTCAGTGTGTTCTCTTTTGAATCAGCATGTCATCATTCCTGTTGCTTTTATTACAGCAATGGGTCTAACTCTTCCGGATCCTCCCAAATTTGTGGTTTTGGCATATTTTCCAAACATCATTTTTAAACATTGACCTCATAAAATCTTGCATCTCTTGAAAAATTTGCCACTTTGTTATTCCTTTGCATTGTATTTGCATTGTATTGTAGGAGGTTTTCAACATTAGACAGAGACTGACTGAGGTAGATATTTGTGATATTGGGAATTATCATATGAAATATCATACAAAATATTTTAGCCTTCATCCCTGTTTCTGGCAGAGCTCCCCAAACCCTTGGAATTTCCTAAGTGATGAAAGGGATAGACAGGTCTTTTGTTATGATGAAGTAACTTTGGGAAAGCACCTAAGAATGGAGGCTGGTTGCCAGGGGAACCAACTAAGTGATTAGAGGGTGGGAACATTCAATCCCACACCACCCCTCTCCTCATCAATGGCCAATGATTTAACCAACCATGTTGATGAAATGAAGTCTCCATATAAACTCAAAAGGGCAGGGTTTGGATAGCTTCCAGGTTGGTGAACATGTGGAGATTTAGGAAAGTGGTGCACTTGATGGGAAAAGATACGGAAGCCCTCTCCGCACACCTTGCCCTGTGCATCTCTTCCATCTGGCTGTTTCTGAATTTTATCACATTGTCTGGCTTAGGAAGCTCATATACTCAGAAGGGAACTCATGGCTTCATGGAACTACAAGTCAGGTGGTTTTCAGTGAAGAAGCTCAGCAGGCCAAGCACTTATTGGGTGAGGGAGGGAGGCAGAATGAGGAGGGGAGATGTCATGGTCTCAACAGATGAAGTCTCAGGAGGTAAGGGGCTGGGTCATGTGTGAAAAGGCTGAATCTTCAGGACCTGCTGCAAAAGCCCATGTGGCTCTAAAACCCAAGAAAGAAGAGGTATGAGAGGAAGGCAGAGGAGGGGTAGTGAGAGCAGCAGATGGCAAAGCTATCTTGGTCCTCTCTGGGAGACCAAAACCGCACTACAAAGGTAGAACTTGTGGGGAATCCCAAGGAGGGTCTATGAGGCAGGCTCCTCCTTGAACCTGTGGGTGAAAAGGGGCCATATACTAAACCTGGCAAGCTCAAGGGAGGCCTGCATGGTGGCCTTACAAGCTCAGAGGTCTAAAGTAACCACATGGGATGGTTTAAAATGAAAACTTCTTATCTAAAAGCGAGTTGTGGTGGGTAGTCATGTCCTACGCTGATATCTTTTTTGGTATAGGTTGATCTTTACCTTAAGTGAGCTTGTCTATTATCTTTTTGCACCTATGATAACATACCTTTGAAATTTAAGACCCCTTTTTCCAGAACCCTAAGAGCACAATCTCCCACTAGGGCAAGAGACCATGAACCCCTCATTGTTATCCTGTTGCCCAAATGCTAACCTTATGTAGTGCGAATGTTGTTAACTATCCTATACCCACCAATGTAAAGGAAGTATTTGTCTCTTTTTTTTAAGGTTATTTATTTTTAGAGAGGGGAAGGGAGGGAGCAAGAGAGGGAGAGAAACATCAATGTGAGGTTGCCTCTCATGTGCCCCCTACTGGGGACCTGGCAGGCAGCAACCCAGGCATGTGCCCTGACTGGGAATCGACCTGGTGACCCTTTGGTTCGCAGGCTGGCACTCAATCCACTGAGCCACATCAGCCAGGTGTCTCTTTATTTCATTCTTAATCCAATTTCAGGGATTTCCCTGCTTCGCTTCCTCCTACCTCCCTAGGCTACCACCAATGGATTTCATGTAACCCACCTTATGCCTCCTCCTTTGATTGAAATGTATAAAGCAAACTACAAACCTGCCATTCTCTGGAGCATTTCCTCAATCCATTGAGCTATCACTTCCTGGAAATTGTCAGTTTGGCTTAAATAAACAAAAAAAATTCTTTCAGGTTTGGACATTTCTTACATGACACTCCAAACTCTGTTCTATTAAGTGCTGGCCTTTGTTTTGAAGCATCAGGCACAGGAACAAGAGGAGTTTGGGAGTTATATGGCCAGTGCTTCACAAGGCTCCATACATGCCTCAGACCTGGGCTGAGGATGAGTATGGCATGGGAGTATTTGGTCCCAGGTGAATCCCCTGCATGGAGCAAGAATTACCCAAACTCCTGGCTCTCCTGAGGGAAGGTAGCAGAGGATTTCTGGGGGCAAAAGGTGGTGGGGTCTGTGTGGGGAGAAGTGAAAGGAACAGAGCCCACTTCTGAAGTATTCGCGAGGTGAATTAGGCTTAACCTTTGCTCTCCCTGCAGTGGTTTGGGGGATTCCTACTGGAGAGAAGGATTTGAAGCAAAGGGTTAGATATAGATGCCAGATGTCTGCCACAAAGTGCTGATCAGATGGTGTGAAGGGGTTCTGAATAGGCCCTCCAGTCTCAGAGATGTCACCCTTGCTCTACCACTGTCCTTGCAATGGAAAGTTGAGTGGGCTGGGGCACAGAAGGGGTGGGGGGAAGCTTCAGCTCAATGTCAGAGCTACATGTGGGGCTCTCCACAGTGTCCCTAGAGAAGCATGCAGGGTGTGAGCTGCAGGTGCCAGGGTCGGTCACTGTGCAGGAGAGCTTGCATGTCCTGGTGCCCTGTACCTTCTCCAACTACCCCTCAGATGATGGAATCACGTGGACCCACCCTCTATTCTTCTAGTCCCTGGAAGGAGCCAATATACATCAGGACCCTCAAATAAACAAACCAGGTCAAAAGCTGTAAGAGAAAACCCTGGGCAGTTTCCATATCCTCAGGGATTCCCAGACTAATAACTATTCCCTGAACATGCCAGCAGGAAAGATGGCGAGGTGTACTTAGTCCTGTTGGAGAAAGTGGTGCTGGGCGATACTCAGGGAAGCCAAGAGAGGCTTCAGCTCAATACTGGAGTCCAGTTTTTGTCATGGCCCAAGAAGGGATTAGAGAGTGTGACAGAAGGACTTAGCAAAGCACAGTAAATTTATTAAAGTGATATTACTCACTCAAGAAATGAGAGGGTGCAACCTCAGAGAACAAGATGGGGTCTGGGTGGAAGGTTTTTATTAAACATGGGCAAGGGGAGCAAATAGGGTGGTGCCCAACTTCTGACACTGGGACTGCTGATATGGCTCATCCTTTTCCCTCCACTCCACATAGCAACTTCTTTCTCTTTTTCTTTCTCTTTTCTTTTCTTTTCTTTTCCTTTCTTTTCTCTTCTCATCTTTTCTCTTCTCTTCTCTTCTCTTTTCTTCCCTTCATTCATTCATTTCCTTTCCTTCCATTTCTTTTTCCTTCTTTCTTTCTTTCTTTCTTTCTTTCTTTCTTTCTTTCTTTCTTTCTTTCTTTCTTTCTTTCTTTCTTTCTTTCTTTCTTTCTTTCTTTCTTTCTTTCTTTCTTTCTTTCTTTCTTTCTTTCTTTCTTTCTTTCTCTTCTTCCTCTTCCTGCACCTCTTCTTCCTCCTCCTCCACCTCCTCCTTCTTTTTGGTCCCCTCAATTACAGGAAATTTCAGAGGAGGAAGCGGGAGGGCAGGGGGAGGGGGCCCACAGGTGGTCAGTGAAAGTCACATCTCCAAAGTTCCAGCCAAGACGGAAAAGGGGAGGGGTAGGGCTTGGAGGCCTTTGTTCCCTTTTCTAATTTTCCTGCCACAAGGGGGCCTGTTGTGAAGTTCAGTTTCAAGTCTCTTTCTGAATGGGACAGTTGGGCTGGGCCTCTACTCAGAGTGCAGGAGGGGGCATCAAAGTGAGAGTAGAGGTGCCAGGAGCCTGAGGCTCAGAGGATGGTATCTTTGGGGCTTGTGCAGAGGCCACTTCCAGAGTCACACCCTGGAGTCCCCTCTCTGTGTCTTGGGTTTCTTTCTCTATCCTTTTCAGCCCTCATCTAGACACCTGACATTCACCTCTCAGCACCTCTGGAGTCTGGCCATCCTGGGGCCCTAATTTGCTCCATGTCAGCACCCTGTGATTGGAGGA